AGGCTGGGGTGGGGAGCTCCAAGGCAGGGGGCCCGCAGCTGCCCAGACACCAGGGAAGGTGTGCGGACCCTGCCTAGGGGCATGCAAGGTGTAAATCCAGCCCTGCACATGAGGAAACCAAATAACACCCATTTGGCCCACAACTGCATATTGAAATCAAAATATTTTAATTTTCAGCTGAATATTTCAATGAAAATTCAAAATTTTCCACATAAAGCAAACAGTGCAAAAAAATGTGTTTAATCAAATATCCAATTTTCTGCCAAAAAGCAGTTTTGATGGAAAGTTTTCAAACCCAGATCCTCTTTCCAGAAGCAGACTAGTTGAAGCTGTACCTGAGTTCCAAGGATTATTACAGGTGGCCCAGGGAAGCACAGCAGTAAAGGAGCTGAACAGGTAGAAGATAGCCCAAGATAGGATGACGATGTAGTAGATATTCAGATAGGATTCGATGACTTGTGAGGCGTATCCAATTCCTAAGAGGGAAAGTGACAGGGGTTAGGAAATGGCGCCCCTGGTTAGCCTTAAATATATCAGACTTTAGCTTCAAATAGTACCATAGGCCATCCCACTGGAGTTGCGGGCAGGGCAGATTAATGAGCAATTTGATTCACCAAAGAATCCTGTAAGACTCAGGTTGAGGGTGGGAGATCCAGATGTGGTTCATCATGGTGCAGAAATCAGAAATAAAAAGGGTTTTCACTGCTAACTACATCCCACGCCCAAAGAATGGGGCCAGAGCAAAAGCATAGGGTCAGGAAGGTGGTGGAATCTCCATCCTTATTGGTTTTTAAAGACCAGCTTGACAAAGCCCTGGCTGGGATGCTTTAGTTGTGGTTGGTCCTGCTTTGAGCAGGGGTTTGGACTAGATGACCTCCTGAGGTCTCTTCCAACCCTAATCTTCTATGATTCTAGGAGGTACCTTCTAATCCTGGCTCTGCCAATATCAGCAAATGCCAATCTGAGCAAAACACTTAATCGTTCTGTGCCTCAGTTTCCCCCTCTGTAAAATGGGGATCATAAAACTTCAGGATAGTTGTGAAGTTAATTCTCTATGGTTTTAAAGTAGAGCTGTCCAGAAAACAAGAATTCCATTTCACAAAAAAAGTCCAGGTTTTATCATTTGTTTTTGGTTCTGCTTCAGAACAAGAACTAGATCTTTTGAAATTTTTCACACAAAAACCCATGAGACCCAGAAATTCCATCGTGGACCTGAGAAACCCATTCATTGACTCACCTTCAAAGAGAGGGCAGATCTTCCTCCAGGCGGTGACCCCTCCCTGGCTCGTGTACTGTCCTAGCGCTGTCTCCAGGAAGAACACTGGGATCCCACAGGTGAAGAGGAAGATGAGGTAGGGGATAAAGAAGGCACCTGCAGAGAGAGAAAGAGTGGGTAGCAAATGGAGGAATCTTTACTACTCAACATTATCATAATCACCCATTGCCAGGTACACTAACAAGCGAGATGTACCATCAAGGCTCAGGTAAACACCCTTGAATGTAAATGACTATCTGAACTAAATGGACCTGGTGAGCCTGCAAAGCTGTGCAGATCTTGCAAGAGAACAGCCTCTCGGCTTTCTTCTTCTTGTCCTGGAAATACCACAAGCACCCCCGTCCTCGTGCTATTTCAGCACTTCTGCATTTGGTCCTGGGCAGAACCTGGAAGAGCAGAATGGCAAGAAGACAAAAAAAGACACAGAAAATAAACGTTGACTATACTTTTCAGCCCTTAAAACTGGTTTGAGCAAAGGTTTGGGAGGATAAGAGGAAATTTTATTGTATCCAAACTGGGTCCTCCTTACCCAGCAGTCACAGGACAGCTCTCTCCAGTTGCTTCTAAACTGCTGCCAGGATCTTGGTTTAGTCTCCAGCCTTTCCTTCTCCCATCTCCTAATTTGCCTTTCCAAAGAGAGCAGCTGGACTCCACACTTCAGAACCCACCCACCTCAGTCTAACGTCAGACATAAGGCAGGCAAATGCCATTCTCCTCCTGGTTGAATCAACAGCCCTCAGGGCCTCATCAGACACAAGGAACAAATGATAAGTGAATGTATTCCCATCCTTTGCCCCAGTCCTCTGATAAAAACACAGATGTTTGGAAGAAAGATTTGGGCTCCTTCTCTCAAAAGCAAATCTGGTTCTTCTTAGATCTGTTTCTCCCTTGCTAGAATCAGTCATGCAAACCCACATTCCTTCTCATGAAGGATAATTAACAATTGGGTCTAAATAAAGAACCTTTCTCCTTGTTCTTATGTCAATAATGTTAAAATAAAGAGCAACATCAAAATGTTCCCTAAACACAGATGTATTATAGTTGCAGGGGACGTAAGGCCAGCAGACCCTTCACATCTAGACAGGATCAGTCCAAGTTCATGAAGTAGGAAACATAGATCCTGTACGTATTCAGCTAAAGGCAGCTGCTCCTTTCACAGCCACATAAAAGACCTTCAGTCAGAGTTCTTCTGAGACAACAGTATTATCCAGTACTTGATTAGATGAATCCTTAGGGAGATCCCATACCCTGTTTTCTGATTCTGATCGTCCTAGTGGCTGATCAATTTAATCAATAATTATTTACAAGAGTGCCACCTTACATTTATAAAGCTTCTTTCCATTCTGAAGTTCCCAAAGTTCTAGCCAGGATACCAGGGTTAACATCTATTTTTGCAAAAAAATGACATGGATGCTTTCATGACTGTACAAGTGGTCAGCCGACCCCCCAACACAGTTCTGAGCCATTGGATCTCAACGGGAAGGGTGCTTTGTACTAGAACATGAAAACCACTTTCTGCAGCATCTTGAATTTTCTGTGGTAGTCTCCCAGCCAAGTTTTGCCCAGACCTAGCTGTGGTCAGTTTGAGAGACCTAACAAGATCACAGCCTGATATGTTACACCTACATTAGAAATAATCATTGAGGCAAATAATTTAATAATTTTTAATGCAACAGAAAGTATGCAAGTAGCCTTTTCAGTGATACTGGTCAGGATAGAGACTGCAAGGATTATCAATCCTGATACTCCTGCTTCACCTGGCAGAAGAGACCCAAATGCAAGGTCACTGTGACCTGGCCTTTACTGACTGGGAAGTCAAAGTGGGAGTGGTATATATGACTGTAAACATTATCTCAGGTCAGGACCTGACCGTGGAATGGGAGCACAAGGTGTGTTCTTAATACCTTAAAGGACTATATTATTTTAGTTTTCCCCAATAAACCAAAGTCCAACCATTTTTACAAACAAACTGGTGATGTTCAGTTCTCTTCCCCTCTCCCCCTCCCCCCGCTCTCTTTCATTTTACAATCACTAGAAAATCTCATTTTTAACCATGTAAAAGATCTTACTGCAGTTTTACTGGACTAAGGAATTAAGCAAGTCACACAAGAAGCAGCAGTGAAGGGGGATGGACTCTTTCTGTGGGAATGTTTTCCCTGGCCAGGGGTTGGCTACTTATAGATCTATTACTGGGGAAGAGGTAGAAGTGTCCTTTCCTTTCTCATCCCCCCAGGCACACCCTCCTGAAGCTCCTCAAATTCATCTTTACCCCCGGGACAAGTGCCTTGCCCTTTCGCTTTGAAAATCCAGTGACTTTACTCAGCTTTAGAATTCACTGGGGATAACACACCTGTGTTTGGATAAGTGTTTCCTGATCCCTGATTACCAGAAATACCAAAGTAGTGGGAGAAAGGCTACAATCATGGGCCAGTCAGGCCTGAAGGGTGAGTTTAGTGAGGACGGGAGTATCACCTGGGTCACAGAACATACAGGATAGGGGGGCAGTTGTCCAGGTGCCCTTGAGGAGGAGCTCAGGCCCAGAAGGAAATAATAGAATCATGGAATATCAGGGATGGAAGGGACCTCAGGAGGTCATCTAGTCCAACCCCCTGCTCAAAGCAGGACGAATCCCAAATAAATCATCCCACCAGGGCTTTGTCAAGCCTAACCTTAAAAATCTCTAAGGAAGGAGATCCCACAACGTCCCTACGTAACCCATTCCAGTGCTTCACCACCCTCCTAGTGAAAAAGTTTTTCCTACTATCCAACCTAAACCTCCCGCACTGCAACTTGAGACCATTACTCCTTGTTCTGTCATATGGTTCCGCTGAGAACAGTCTAGATCCATCCTCTTTGGAACCCCCTTTCAGGTAATTGAAAGCAGCTATCAAATCCCCCCTCATTCTTCTCTTCTGAAGACTAAATAATCCCAGTTCCCTCAGCCTCTCCTCATAAATCATGTGCTCCAGCCCCCTAATCTCTTTTGTTGCCCTCCGCTGGACTCTTTCCAATTTTTCCACATCCTTCTTCTAGTGTGGGACCCAAAACTGGACACAGTACTCCAGGTGAGGCCTCACCAATGTCGAATGGAGGGGAATGATCACGTCCCTCAATCTGCTGGCAATGCCCCTACCTATACACCCCAAAATGCCTTCAGCCTTCTTGGCAACAAGGGTACACGGTTGACTCATATCCAGCTTCTCGTCCACTGTAACCCCTAGGTCCTTTTCTGCAGAACTGCTGCCTAGCCATTCGGTTCCTAGTCTGTAGCAATGCACGGGATTCTTCTCTCCTAAGTGCAGGACTCTGCACTTGTCCTTGTTAATAACAGCAACAAAGTGTTTTCCCCTGACAGAAGAACAACTGTGATCAGAGAATGCTTGGGAATAGCTGGGAGGAGGGGGAATGAACGTGGGCTGGGGAGGAAGGGTCCCAGGGACTGTTGGGTGGTGGAACTGATAGGGTGGGTTCCCTGGCGGATGGAGCCCCCAAAGGTTCTGATAATTCAGCTGTATTTTAGATAAGCATCTCACCTGTTGGCTGCCTCTACAAATGGCAAACCTAAAGGTTCATCCATTATTAAAACGGGGAGCCTACTGAAAGCTGGATTGCCCCTCTCCATCTGGCAGAGCTACTCTGAGCATCCACCTCGCTGTGTGATTGCTTCACTGGAGGTACAGGGGGTGGGCGTGGTCTCTATGTATAGGCGTGTATATATGAACAGATGAAAGTGCCTGCTCTGGTGCTCATATTCCTGGGCCAACATCTCACACAGCCTGGGCTTTTATGGACTTACCACCTCCATTTTTATAACAGAGATAAGGGAATCTCCAGACATTGCCCAGGCCGATGATCTCCCCAGCCATGGAGAGCATAAACTCCATTTTATTTCTCCACTGGCCTCTTGGCTCCATTTCTGGCTTCTCCTTTTCGAGCAGCGCCATGCCCCCATGGGGCTCAGCCTCCATAGCTGCTTTACTCTCCATGGCCCAACAGAGCAGG